CTTTCTGGGCACATGCGTATGTTTTATAAATTCAGCTTACTCAGCAAAAGGGAACTGTGCAGTGACTTGCTTCTAAGGTCGAGTTTGGGACATCACTTGTCTTTTGTTCCCATCAGCTTCCTCCATCTTGATGTCCTGACGTGACACCTCATGTATGGCTTCCCGGCAGGAAATGACAGTAGGGAGGTAACAGCTTGTGTTCAGCATTACTCCTTGGTCTTCACTCTCGAGCCGATGATCTCACTTTTATACTCAGTTGAACAGGAGGCCTGTCCGTGTCTTCAGAGACTTTAAGGAAACGGCATAGAGATGACCTGTGGTGTTGACTCCACACCATGAAAATGGGGAGACTTTCATTTTGTTGGTTGTGTCCAGGGCCCTGCTGGTGGGCTCAAGGGGAGTTCTAGCCACACGGCCCATCCAGCGAGGGAAGGGGGTGTGGAATAACCACGTGTGTGCCTTGGTGTTACGCTGAGAGCAAAGGTGGGGAAGTCTGGCAGGCAGGCCTAAGAGGAGCTGCAGAGACACAGCTCACCTGGAAAGAGACTGCCCCTCCATCCTTCATGTGGGCATAGCTCCCTCTTCACCAAGGAAAACAAGACACAAACCTCCTAGCCTCAGAGACCCCTGGGAACCAGAGGTGTCTGATGTGCACGGACCCTTCCCCCAGAAGAGGACCTATGCATTGGTATCTGTGATGATATTGATCTAAGGAGTGACCCACTGGGCTTCAAGGTTGCCCCATCCCTATGAACCCCAGAGAGATGAAAAGCCTGCCAAGAGAAGTAACACTGATGCTTGCTCAAGGTGTGTAGAAGTCAGCAAACAATAACTGAAGACCTCAAATTTTCAGACACCAAAACTCAAAAAGCAAAAACCCATTTTATTTCACACTCGAGTCTAGCACATCTCAGATACCTGATCTTCCCATGGGCCCTGGGACTGACTGTCACACTCAGGTCAGGAACCAAATAACTCATCAGCCAAACAGGGCTCACTGAACCAAAGGGGCCTTATTGTTACCAAGCTGTGAGAACAAGGGGGGGCACAATGTCTGCATGTCTTCTTAGCTACTGCCATCACATGGGGACATGCTGCACATAAGTCCTGTCAGCTTGCAGGCAAGGCTTGTATGTGTAGACATGCTGCTCGTGAATTGGTGCCAGAACTCAGGGCCTCACCTGGGGTCTCATTTGCTGCCTTACCAGGGGAACAAGCTTAGTACGTGTGGAAAGTAATCCCAGCCTAATGTGTGTGTACTCAGAGCCCACCAGGTGGCGCTCTGATATGGAGAGGGCGCTGTGTGCTCACATCTCAGCCCACCAGGTGGCGCTCTGATTGGAGAGGGCGCTGTGTGCTCACATCTCAGCCCACCAGGTGGCGATCTGATACAGAGGGTGTTGTGTGCTTTTATCTCGGCCCACCAGGTGGCGATCTGATACAGAGGGCGCTGTGTGCTCACATCTCGGCCCACCAGGTGGCGATCTGATACAGAGGGCGTTGTGTG